GGTTGAGCTATTGTTCAGCATCTTAGCTGTAGAGGGCAGTGTCACTGGCCCTCATATGTGGGATCCGAACCAGGGCCCTCTGGCATCCCAAGCCAGCCCTTAACCATCGTGCCACTCAGCCAACCCTCAGTTTGTACTTCTTAATCCTTTCACTTTTTTCACCCTGCCCCCAACCTCCTCCCATCTATCATCCTAACAGATCTAGTACCCATCCGCACCATACATAGTTAATACAATATTATTGATTCTATTCCTTATGCTATACCCTATATCCCCATGATTACTGTGTAACAACCAATTTGTACTTCTTAATCATTCCCATTTTCACTCACTCCCCAATCCTCCTCTCATCTGACAGCCATCAATATGTTCTGTGTATCTATGAGTTCATTTCTGTTTGTTGGTTTATTTTGTTCTTTACATTCCACATATAAGCAAAATCACATTGCATCTGTCTTTCTCTGTCTGACACTCCACTCAGCACAATACCCCCCATGTCCACCTATGCCACATCAGATGGCAAGAACACATTCCCTTCTATGTCCGAGCAATATTTCGTTGTATATATGCACCACCTCCTCGTTATCCATTCTTCTGTTGACAGGCACCCAGGCTGCCTCCACATCTTGGCCACTGTAAACAATGATGCAATGAACATATGGAGGCACACATCCCCTTGAAGTAACATTTGATTTCCTTCAAGTAAGTGCCCTGAAGTGGGATTACCGGGTCCTTCTTTGTCTCTTGTTATAGCCTTTGTTTTAAAGTCTATTTTGTCTGTTGTAAGTATTGCTACCCAGCTTTTTTTTTTTCAATTTTCATTTTCATTAAATATCTTTTTTTTTTTTTTACCCCTTTACTTTCAGTCTGTGTGTGTCTTTCAATCTGAAGTGAGTCTCTTATAGGTAGCATATGTAAAGGTCTTGTAGGGGCTCCAGTGCAGGCCCAGGTCACTCACTCACTGCCTGTGACTGGCTGGGGTCTCCCTGGTAGGGCTACAAAGTGATCCACGGTTGTTTGCTGCCTTTTCTAACCCTGGAGGCATGTGGAGAGGCCACACTGTGAACTGAGGATGGGTGCCACCAGTACAGGGCCTGGGGTAGTTCTGAAAAGAAGCAGGACACCTGGAGGCCTACTATCACCTGCCAGCTCCCTTAAGGTTTAGCCACTGATAAAGCCTCATGTGGTACACAAGAAGAGTGAGGCAGTGTCTCAGAGAGTCATTAGAGTGGGAAGAGTTGTGGTCACCAGTTTAATGTAGACTCTGTTTTGGTGCCAGTGCTGAGCCTGAAGCTATTCAGAAAACGTCTCAGAGCACACCAAGGCCAGCTGCCATCCCCTGGGTCCTGAAGACGCTGATAGTTTTTCAAGAAAAAGTATAATCTGGGTGGGGCTGGCTGCTTGCTGAGAAAGTGCCTCTGGCATTGGGGGAGTTGTCTGAGGCAGGGTCCCAGTGAGTCAGCAGGGTGGATCAGCAGAGCTCACCAGGCCAATCAGATTCAGATTTGGCCTGTAGGGGCGGGTTCAGCATAGGAAAGATGGCTCCTGCTTGCTGGCTGCATGGGAGGAGGACCTCCTCACAGGGAAGCGGTGGTTTTCCTCCAGCCCTCAACCTGAAGCAACACAACTCAGTGTTCCCCCCATATGCCTCTGACGCCCCTGGAGTTACTGTCCCTCCACTGGAGCCCAAGGTGAATGCCTATGAATGAGAGAGTCTGTGTGTGGGCCGTTTAAGAGGACGCTTGTGTTTCCTGCCACTTTCTGTCCCACCCAGATGGTTGGAATCCCCACTGTTTTTCACCACCAGATGTTGTGGGGGCTCCTCTTCCTGGCACCAGCACTCTGGGCTGAGGAGGCCGGTGTGGGGCTGGGCTCCCTTGCTCCTCAGGAGGAACCTCCATGGCTGAGCTATCCCTCCTGGTTCTCAGCCATGACACAGAGGTTTGTGGTTAGCCAGTTCCGTGTGTCTGTCCCTCCTACCAGTCTTTTCTCAAAGTGGCTTCTTCTTTATATCCTTAGTTATAAAACTTCTGTTCAGCTAGACTTCAGATGGTTCTCTAGGTTGATTGTTCTATAATTTAGTTGTAATTTTAATGTGTTCATGGAAGGAAGCAGGAACAGTGTTTTTCTACTCTGCCATCTTGGATCTCGAGCTGTTTAACTTTTTATAATTTAAATTAGTTCTATATATTCTGGGAAGTTTTGTTGATTATATATGTTGCAAATATTTTCCTCCCGTTTGTGGTTTGTCTTTACGTGGCCATTTGATAAAGTCTTAATTTTAATGTAGTCAAATTTATGAAGCTTTTATTAAATGAGTTGCAGTTATTAGTCTCTTATTTATATGCCAGAATTTTTGTGCACTTGGATTTTTTTTCAGTGTAAATACATATTAAAGTCCTCTTTCTGACATAAAGATTCAAAGGATTAGAATCTGAGAAAGAAAACAGGGAAATACCATCTGGGTGAGTCTGCAATGTTTTGGGCGTAGGACCACTTTCCTAGTTCACCACCCCCTGGGGAGGAAAGAAGAGAAAACTTTGCTGGGAAAATTCAGCCAAACTTTGTTCATTATTCCATTGTCAAAATTACTAAGAGATACCAAATTTTAAATGTTTTTATCTTTTGTAAAGCTTCCTGTAATTCAAAAGATAATTGCACGTGGGAGTGAGGGAAGAGTCTATTGTAATTAATCATAGAAAAAATTAAAGGGAGAAGAATTAAGGCTACAAAGATAGAACTGTTAGAAATAGCCAGTTTAAATCACAGAACACTCAATTGAGGGCTGGCAGTGGGGATTGTGAATAGAGCTATATTAGAGTTCTCTTTGAAGGGTGGTGGTAGAAATCTGTGAAGTCTTCCAGGTTAATAAATTTTATTACATCACAAATACCTCCCTTCTAACTCAGTATGAGGATTATGACATAATACATATAAAGCACAGCTAACGTGGTAGAGAAAGGTCATCTGTTGTTATTATTAGTATCCTAAAAAAATGAAGACACTGAGATTAGGGTGACCAACCCTTTTGGTTTGTCCAGACTGTCTCGGTTTAAGCTCTAAATTCCCTATTCTTATGGATCCCTTCACCCTGCTGAAACAAATAGTTTCAGGTTTTTATCTTTTGTTGCAGTGGGGGAGGGTGGAGGAAACTGACTGAATTCCTATTTTTCCCAATTAAACAATAATGTCCTGTCATAGGCCTGGCAAGTTTCCTGTTTCTACCCTATCTTCACCTCACACTGCCACCTGCCTGCAAAAAGAAGTTAATTTTTTTTTTTTAAGATTTTTATTGGGGAATTGGGGATGGGAACAGTGCTGGGGAATTGGGGGAAGGGGAACAGACAAGTTGCTGTTGTTTTGTTCTTCAATCTAGTTGTGGAGGACGTTGCTTCACTGGCCCATGTTGGCACCATCATTGCACTCTTCCCGGGCGAGGCAGATCAGTCGCCGGCTTCTGGACAGCCGCTCATTGCGGGTGCTGGCCGCTNACTAGCTTTTAAAACAAGCCAGTCACTTCCATCCTTTTTTTTTTTTTTTGGAATCTACTATTTGTATTAGGTATTTCTGAAATATCCATAAAGCTATTATTAACTTTCCTTATGTATGGCAAATATAAAATACATGATGTAATTCTTTCAGCCAACATTCATACACCCCTTCAATCCTGGGCAAATCATGGCACTTTAAGCATTCAGTCTTTACAGAGTTAACAACTGACTGTATACAGCTACTTCAGCATAGTGATGAGAGAAGTGACACTTTACTTCCACCCCAAACGAAGCTATGATATTTACCTTCTACTCTGAAGATAGTAAAGTGCGGTCGGCAATGGAAAGAACCCAACGCGTTACCTGCGCAGTTCATCCACAGACCCTGGTAAACCCAAGTGGCGGTTATCACCGATGATGCTCGGGTGGTTACTTTCCACTCATTGGATGTGGTGGCAGCAACAAGGGCTCCAAACCCTCCAACGCCAAACACCAAAGCCGAGATCTGTGCCCTGGACATGTCGCTCAGCCTCCGGTGACACTATCCAGACAGAACGCTTTGGTGGTCTAGGCATGCAACAGACAAATAACACTTGGACAAGTGTTACAGCAAGTTAATGTGGATAGGTAGCAGTATTTCATGCTCAGGTGGACTTGAGGAAGTACCAGATTAGGATAAAGTCTGATTTACCAGTGGCATTTTAAAGATAGCCTGAGATGATCTTTCTAATTTCCTACATGATGTTTCACCAAAATTTTGCAGATGGAGTTTAAAAGTTTTGATTTCGCAGATTTTCATTTCCTGGCACCATACATAGTTAATGCTTAATTTTCTGTTAGCCTGAAGCTTAACGAACCATGTGACTACCAGATATTACAAAGTACAAATTATACAGTAACAGTTAAGGCTTTTTTGACCAATTGCTTCAGTCTTGCATGCTTCTGAATCTTTATATAAATTGAATCATATTGTAGGTATTCTTCTGTAACCTATATTTTTACACAATATCATGCTTGTGAGATTTATCTCTACTCAGGAATGTAGCTATCTTTCATTAAATATTACAGCTGAACACAATATTTTATTAAGCGACTATACTACAATTTATCCATTTTTTCCTGGAGATGTCCATTTATGTTGGTCCCCACCCTCCAATAGCAATGGATACAGCTATAAACATTATTATACATTTCTCTTTGTGCACATGTGCAAGAGTTTCTTCAAAGAGTATCCTAAGAACAGAATTGCTAGCATGTAGGAAATACTCATCTTGAGCTTTATAGGTAATACTAAATTGCTTTACTAAGTAGTTTTAGCATTTTACCCTTCCACTACCAGTGGGCGAGTCCTCATTCCCCTACTTCACAATACATGGTACCGTGGTGTCAGAATTGTTTATTTCTTTTGGCCACTCTGAGGGGTGTAAAGGTATCACATTATGATTATTAATTTGAATTTTCTGATTATTAATGAGGTTGAGCATCTTTTCATGTTTATTGGCTCATTATGTTTTTGTCTACAAAGACATTTGTAACTTTTGCTCATTTTATCTATTGAGTTGTTTGACTTTTTAAAAAAACTTTTATTAAAATATAACTAAAATATAACTAACATACAATATTATATTAGTTTCAGGTATACACCCTAGTTATTCAACATTTATATACCTAAAGAAGTGATCAGCATCATAAGTCCAGCAACCATCTGACACCGTACCACTTTAACACAATATTATTGACTATATTCCCTATGTTGTACATTACATCCCCATGACTTATTTGTTTTCTACCTGGAAATTTGGACCTTTTATTCTCCTTCACCTTTCCCCTCCCCTTTTTAATTTTTCAATTACAGTCGACATTCAATATTATTTTATAGTAATTTCAGGGTACAGCATAGTGGTTAGACATTTATATAATTTGAGAAATGATCCCTCTGACTAATCTAGTACTCACCTGGCACAATACATAGTTATTACCGTATTATTTACTATATTCCTTGCATTTTATTTTACGTCCCCATGACTATTTTGTAGATATCAGTTTGTACTTTTTTTAAAAAAATATTTTTATTGGGGAATTGGGGGTATGGGAACAGTGCTGGGGAATTGGGGGAAGGGGAACAGAGAAGTTGCTGTCCTTTTGTTCTTCAGTCTAGTTGTGGAGGACGTTGCTTCACTGGCCCAAGTTGGCACCATCATTGCGCTC